GGCGGATGTGATTGTAGCAGAGCGTTCCGAATGTTATCACAAGAATGCTGAGTTGTGGGCAAAAGTCGTGCCCCAGGCGGGAGTCGAACCCGCACCTCACGCTTTCCGGGCGAGTGCGCTATCCGTTACGCCACCAGGGCCGCTTTTACCCTCTCAGCCTTAAGCTGGCGTAACGGATAGCGCACTCGCCCGGAAAGCGTGAGGTGCGGGTTCGACTCCCGCCTGGGGCACGACTTTTGCCCATAACTCAGCATTCTTGTGATAATCCACGATTGTTCAAACATCTGAACCTTCATGCAAAGTACAGTAATTTATTGAGTGGAATGAGTGCTGCTGCTGGATATGCCGTATTACAACTGCATTACTGCGAGAGAGCACTTCGTTTGAATCTGCCAAGCTTTTACCTCATAAAGGGTTACTGTCTCCCAAACTAAGCGGTTAGTAAACCAGGGAATCCTATTCAACTCAAGCTCGCGCCCAGATTTGTTCTGGCTTACCTGATAGAAGTAAGTTCTGGGTTGAGGGCACTCGCCCCACAAGGAATGGGGCTTTTTCTTATAGTTAGATATGTTTTGTCTGACAGTTGAAAAGTTCTATACAGGCTCTCAAATTACCTGCTCTACCAGACAGTCTACTTGGTCCCTAATCTTTCTCGATTTTTGTCAGTTTTTACACTTGAAATCCCTGAGATGTGGTAGGAGTGGCTGCGTACTTCAACTAAATGTGGCGGTGGCTGTGCTTTCAGCAAGGCATTTTCATTTTGAGACAATTGAGGTCATGTCTCTGTTCAACACTGAATAAGACGACAATCGTCTCAAACTAAAGTATCCTATGAGTAACCCATCCCATGAAATGCTCGGATGCCACGCCCACTCCATCTCTAGGGATTCAGGGATAAGGAGTGTATAGTTCAAAAATGGAGGGTCCAGACATAAATGAGAATTTTCACACCGACTTTTTGCACTTAAAGGCACGGTCCGCGATCAGGTATCGAAGTTGAAAATATGGCGTCAGGAGGTTAGAGTGGTCCGCGACGAACAACCTTGTACCGGTTTCGCGGCAAAAAATTCTATGGGAGGGGCGCTGTAGCGCAATATAGGTTCAGTGGCTCCTCCTTTTTCCAGTGACTCCGCCTCCAGACTCCGCCCCCCTAATGACCGACTCAGTGGAAAAATGAGATTGCAGCGACGAAAAGGGGGGACCACGGTAATCACCACCTGTACAATCGTAGAAATCTTATAGGTGAATCAGCCGTGCATGTGAGGGCGCAGTTTTGGAGATAGAGTTGATTAGGCACGTATAAACTGGGATCGAAATGGGGTTCTTTTTAAGACAGGTGACATGTTTTTTGTGCTTTTTTTGTTCACAGTCGAGTTACTCAACCCCTTGTCGTCTATATGGAAACCCCCTAATCCACCATCTGAGATGGCGAGTAATCGCGGGTTATTCCTTTAATATAGGCTCCTAATTGCAGAAATAGCTCAGAACTCCTAGTTTGCATAATCAAATAACTGTGTCTCTTAGGATGTTTGTTCAAGCGATTAAGATATGGAAATTTCGACCTTGTAAATGTGCATCGCATCAAACGCCCTAGTGGAGAACGACTGCTAGCGGAACGGAACTGTCCACCAAGTTTGATCCTTCTCCCATAAGTGAAGGTGATGATGAGATGAGATAAATGGGCCCTCACATAGAGCACTGTATTACACCTATACATTAAAGCCGTAAAGTATCTGTGAGAAAAGCTGCTTCGATAAGTTCCTTTTTGCACTCAGGTGGCTAGGGTACAGCATCGTGTTGTGTAAAATGGTGGTGTAGGTACGCCCCCCCCCCTTCCTGAGAGAGGGTGCCAGTACCCCCCCCCCACCTAAATGGTGGTCTCGGCACGACCCTCCATTTTCTTTCGAGAACGTCGAGCGGGGGGAGGGAGAGGGGGTATATAGCCACTGTGACACGAACAATCGCGAGGAAAGCACGACCCTGCCCCTCCTTGTTTTCTCAGATCTTCCCCACCTTTCTACCACTTTTTTCAGTATTTCCGGAAACTTGTCCTACTTTTCCCCAAAAATTTTGCTGTCGCGCGTGGGGAGGGGTCATATGCTTATCAAATGAGCCTCCATGGTTTCAGCTTTTTAATCAAATGCAAAAAGGTAATTCTGTCAAAAATGCTTAATTTCGTCGACCTGACACTTCACTTTCAGCATTTAAATACTAATAGAAAAATAATCTTCGAAAGGAAAGCAAGCTACCGTAGATTGTGGAACTCATAAGTTTTTCATCTTCAGTGCTAAATTTCAAGCTGAGAGAAACGCTGTTTCAGAGGTCACCCCAATCATAACGGATCCCAGGTGCTGCTTACCGCTTATTGTCGTGTTGGATCGCTCCATCATATGTGGCCACCCAAAATGTAACTGTTATCATTTCGTTGCGTATCAAAATATCATTACCACGGTGTATTGAGAGACAGTAATGCCTCCCCCCCAGGGAGAGGGAGCCGGAATCGATAACCCTTGCCTTTGATTTATTCATTTGATTAGCATTGATGTGCACTGAGATTTTTGGGTGAAACTATTTGTTTCCGGCCTTGCCTCTTCAGTCGTCTTATTCAGAAGCCGGAATTGTTCCGAGTTCATAAAATATCCGAAGACACCAAATCCACTCTAGCAGTTCCAAGATGCACATCTTTTGAATTGTTGAATTTTTTGTGAAGTATCCATCCCCTTAACCCTGGATTTTGCATAATGGTTCCCAATTTTTAAAACGTGAGCACGAGGTCGACAAGTCCTGAGAAATTCACCACGAACTCTCAAAGATAGACCACTTCCTTGTTATCGTCATCATAACGGTCGTTTCGGCGCTGTCAATCCAAAATGCTCACATTTGACTGTGCAGGGGATTCTGCGCGTTTTGAACAGAATGACAGGGTGATTAATGGCATGGATTTCCCTTGGGACTTGACGGCAGAGTGCTGCAAGATGAAAGGGGCACTCGGTTAGATAAGGTACGAATGACTGGGTTTCTCCAGCTGACACAACTGCTGGCCGGCCGCATGACTTCAGAGTTCATGACGGGGAAGTTTGAGATAAGGTTCCATCAAACTCGGGGATAAGGTGAAGAGGAAGTTGAAGAGATGTTGAAACGTAATGGAAAGTGAGTGCCATAGAAAGTGTTGAGAGAAGCATCACTGATGGCAAAGCTGTGCTTAGTAAGGGTTCCCTATTTGCGTCCAGATCAGTGTCCAAGTAGAAGCAGGATGACGTTATGAGCAGTCTCCGCATCCAACGGCGGAGAGGCGTGGCTATTGCGTGCGATGGACGCGCGCGGCGCTCGTTTCCAGTCTGTCAGAGTCTGCAATGGAGGGTCTGGAAAGCGGTGGTTTAGCTGCTGACCCTTTGTTGAGTGCGGCCCTCTCCTCCCCCCTCGGATCGTCACGGGAGGATCTATTTCTGCACGATTTTGCCAGATCAAGTCCACATGCTGGCACCCTGTTCGGGTAGGTTTCCATCTTATTTCGTTTATTGGTTTTTTGTGCCTTTCTTCTCGCATATTTCTCTTACAAAGTCCTCCTTCTGGATCAACGTTGGAGTGTTCGTTCACCTTCCTTCTTACAGCTCTTTCTTACTCCTTTTACAGCCAAGGCTTCAGGCTTTCACTTCATTATTTGCTGCTCTATAGGCATAGCTTTTGCGACTCAGTATTGGCGCTATTTGGAAAGGTGTTGTTCCTCAGATTCTGCGAAATTTATGAAGACGATTTATTCTTGTGGAATTCACGGCCGGTGCGGAGCAGGAAGTGCCGACGACAATCGTCCGCTCGCAGTGAAAGCCATCAACGAATCGAATCATGCACGCAACCGTTCTCTGAATGAGGGGCAAAGGGTGCCTGCGCAGTCCTGGACTTTTTGAATGGTAAAAACTCTTTGAAAAAAGTTGCCTGGGACTTCCCTCCCTCTTTTCGGGAGGCGCCAAGTATCTGAGCGTTCTGTGCAGCTTATCGCGCCAATTATTAGCCTCACACCGCACTTGTAAGTCAGAAGTTCACCAGGGTGAGAGGGAAAATTGACGCAAATAACTATAACGAATTCCAGTAACTACGCGACGTTAACTACGTTGCAACCACTGCCGCCGATCTCCACCGTCACCTCAAATGGCGACAAGTTCAGCAGAACTTCGTCACCTTCAAGGGAACGCCAGTCCAAGTTCGTCCATTTTTCTTTGAACTTTATTAGCCAGCTCTCCCTTGCGTCCTTTTATGTTCTTTTTCCAGCTATTTCTTCCCTCCATCTAGTCAATCCTATAACTACAATGTGAACATCAAGTACGAATATGATTTGAAAAATGAAGACGATTCGAATGATTCGCCCACTGGTGAGCCATAAGGTCTCCAAAGGGGGATTCTTCACGGAATGAATGGATGTGTGGGGGTTGAGAGAGAAAACTATGGGCCAGTTGCTTTTCAGGACAACCACCCAGTTCAACACCATCCGAATACACGCAGTCGCATGCCTCACAGCCAACAGATACTACTTTCTCGTCAGCTAATTTCGTTCCAGCCTATTCCGGTCTTGAAATCAGGTAAGCGCTTTTCCGCTTTCCCTGTGCCCTTTTAATGGCCCTTTCGCTACCCATTGAGTATCAGGCATGAGTTGCAGGTCGCCTAAACTCGAAAAAGAGTGCTTTTTTAATGGCTACACGAATGGCGATTGTGATGTGGACGATGAGGCGAGTTCTTTCTCCCAACTTCCTCATTGTTGAGGGCACCTCCTCAATTATTTTTTTATTTAGTCCGCATGTATGACGAATAACTGCTCGCCATTAGCCAACGGCCATGGAAGTCCAGAAGGGGACGACGAGGACGATGGCGAAGAACTCAACACCAAGGTCTCAGTGATTATCACGATTTAGCTGGAAATTCCAAAATTCTTTACCCTTTCAGGATTTGGCGCAGAGGATATCAGCCGAGCTGAAACGATACTCAATCCCTCAGGCGATTTTCGCCCAGAAAATCCTCTGTCGGTGCGTGTCATTTCTCGTCTTCGTCTTCCTTGCTTTTTCCGAAGTTTCTTTTCTTTCGATAATCTCGCCGCAAGGCGAGCTGTGAGCCATAACATGATTATACAATGGTGTGTGTGCCAGTTGGCTGGCGCTGATTGCGCTGTGGCGTAGAGCCAAAGTCGATTTGCTTTCGATCATCGGCTCCAGCAATTTGAGATGCGGGATCTTCCGGAACGGGACAATTCCCATCTTGTCACTCTATTCCCCTCATTCTTCGTTTTTTTCAGGTCCCAAGGAACGTTGTCGGACTTATTGCGCAATCCAAAGCCATGGTCCAAATTGAAGAGTGGCCGAGAAACGTTTCGACGGATGGCTAAATGGTTACAAGAGCCAGAGTTCAAACGCATGTCCGACCTTAGAATGGCAGGTTCGTCGGATTGGCTCTGATGTGTCATTTTCTCTCCTCGTGTCCGCTTATACCCCTTCTGCCTCTCTGTTTACGGCAAATCTGTCATCATTCGCCACGCTACCTAATCTCTTGGGCATCCACCAGCTGCCATTCTTAGTATCGCGGAAACAACCAGCTTTCTACATTGAAACACCACTTTCAAAAAGTCTGCTAGTCATTCATGCAGACTGAACTGGAACGCTTTGTTCTTATGAAGCAACTCATGCGCGATTCGCTTCATTCACGTGAAAGCCACCCCGGGGATAGTTGTATGGGAGGATAAAAAACTTTTAGTGCTTCTCCAATTTGACATCTCATCAATATGCGCACTGCCCAAGTGAAACCGTACTTGTCATGGAAATCAATAGATAACTAATGTTAATGAGCATCCAGCTGTACTCGACAGATGGTGTGCCATGTACGGGGGTTGAGGTCATCGGAGGACGCAAGAGACGCATGAACGGCGCTGGTCTGAGCTTTATACGCGGGATCCTCCGAGAACCTCTCAAACACACCTGCTGGATAAGAAAAGGCTGGGGAAAAAACGCTTTTTGACACGCGCTGCAGCTAGGGCTAATGGAGTTCCCCACGAGCCTTTCTGTGGAGATCTCATGAAGGCCAACGTGAAACCCTGTTGTTAAGCCTTTTTGCCCATAAAAAGGTTCTAATGTGCCTATGTGAAACACTCACAAAGGTCTGCTTCTTACTAACACCTATGCGTCTTCCCGTTCTATAGCAAGTGCTTTTAATACCACGAGAGTTTCATTTTTTTACGGTGTGGAAGTTGAATAATGCCTGGCTACTCTAACCCGGCTAAGAGAGGCAAAGAAGTGAGAGAGTGAGGAGAAAGAGAGGGCGGCGTTTCCCATCTTTCTCGCGTTACAGTATGCCTCATGCGCCAATCGGAAATCGATGTGCTTGAGGGGGTACGTGCGAGAGAGTGTGCTTACGAAGCATAGTGAAAAGATGGAAGACGAAGGGCCCCCGAGGGCGACTGGAACTACTCGGTTGCTGGCGGCCGGTTATTCGGGGGACCTACAGAGGACAGCTTTTTTAGTACAGCTGAATACGATTTGCGTGATTACCAAGGCGTTCTTGTGAGGTGAGGAAATGCTTAGAACCAAGCCTATGGCCAGGAAAACTCATAAAAAAGCGGAAAATCGAAGTCGTCTAGCGTCTGCGCTGGAATCGATACATTAGCGGCTGCTTATTTTGGTAGTAAATTAAGCGGTGAAACATCAGAAGCTATGACGGCATCACATGGATGCCTTAGGCGGATGAAGCCCCGTATTCGGTCTCGCCCTTGCTATCGGCGTCCATTTTGAATCGTTCATTCTTGGTCCGATTTGCTTTCTAGCCTTTCTATCTCACCATTCATCCTGCGGACAGGTGGGTTCACACAGAGACGCCCGTCACAACATGCTTCTCCGTTGCCATGATGTCTTTGGCAACCCCCTCTTGGCGCCATGTAATGCGATCCTCGGGCTTGTTCATCCATTTGGAGCGCCACTGCCAGCTGTCTGCTGTCTCAGCGCCTAACCACGGGAGTGTGGGAGACGGGTCATCGAAACGCGAAGGTCAAAAGCTGGAAGAGCTGGGATATGGAATGAAGCTAAGGGAGTTATGCGTAGTGTCTGCAAGCAGTCATGCATGACTGTGCGCACAATAGGTTCCGCTGAACTCTCGACCTCCATCTGTTCACCTAGTTGGCTCTCTCTCTTCCCAGCGCACGCTCACCACGCTCATTATGTGACTGAGGCGCGAGGGAGCTCAGCGCCAATTTTTGGCATTGCATGTGCTTTCCATCCTAGCTGTCGTCATTCCCTTCGCAGACAGCCGTGGCATCAACCGCCACTTCTGGGTGAATTTATGAAAGTCTGAATCAAAGGGTGGTTTATGGAGAAAGGAGAGAGCTGTTTTGTCCGAATTTGCGGACTGTTAAATTTTTGTGGTGGTTCAGGTGTCCCTTTTACTTTGTGGTTGCTTGAGCAATACTTGTTAAAGAGGTTTGGAAGGAGCATTTTCAGAGTCTTCTGAAAAAAGGTTGGCAGTTCTGGACATCTTCTTGATTGGTTTGCCAATTTTCGAATGGGAACATCTGGGAGGTTGAACTATCAGAAGTGGAACTAGATTTGACCCACCCCGTGTACCACACGGTTTTAGCCACCTTGAGCGATGCCCCCCCTGACTTATCGACTTCTACCTCTGCGAATCGCAGGTTTACGTCTCCTAGTCTATTTCTCGTGGTTAGTGAGAAGAGCCGCCACAAACCAAGCCCATTATTGTTTTGGCTCAAGCTCCTAATGGTTAAGCGTTCAGTGCTTGGCGCTCACAATCAAGCCGCGGCAACCGTCGCCATCGCAGCGGCCGTCGCCTAATTGCTCTGGCGGTGAATATATTCACAACTCGTCGTGTTCTGCTGATCCGTCGGAGCCGCTGAACCGTCAGCTACAATCAGTCAGTCAACCTGCATTTTGCAGGATTTGGATGATTGATTAGGGCTAGAAGAGTTTTCTGTCGGAATATGTAATACATTCCCTGCTGTGAAAATCTTCGAAAAAGTGGAAAATAACATCTAAAAAAATGGAGTCGCAGAATAGGTGTCGAAATCCCTCATTTACCCCTACCTTTACCAGTTTTGAACACATTTTCGGACCGTCCGCGAGGTCTCACCCTGCCTTCGGGGGAATTTCGAAATCAGTTCCATGCACTTTCTCGTCCACACAATTGACTCACATGCCATATTAAGAGGGAGGGATCGCGCTCATTGTTAGAGGTAGAGGAGGGGGTGTGACTGAAGTGGAGGAGATGGAGATCATTCGGTCCCATTGTCCTGAAGATCATGACAGTGAGGTTTTGGCTCGTGGAACTTTTGTTTCCCAACGCAGAGAGCCTTGGCAGGTGCTGAATTTTCTGAAGTCTGGAGAGGAAATATGAGGTTCCAAGTTGGAAAAGAAGAGTCATGGATAGTCAAGGAGAGGCGTTGATGAAGCAAACCATTTCACGAAGTCTACGATTATATTGAACGATAAGCTTCCCGTGAGGCTATGGTGGTGTGTTGGCAAATGAAGCCAATTATCGTGCATAATTCACGGAATAAATCTTGGGCTCAGTCATACCAAAGAGAACCGAGAGAACTGAAACAGGTCGAAAGAGACATAAATTCCTCACTTTTTCGGTATCTCCATTTATCACTGCCTTCTTAACGGGGTCCGAAATGCTCCCATCAATCCAAGTAGCTCGAATGTCTAACATAACCTAGCCCACCTTGGTGTGCCTCAATTACCAGCATAAAATAATCTAAAAAGGCCTACCGGCGAAAACTATCAAAAATAAGTGGTCGGGGGCCACCTTGGTAGTGCAATGGTTCGCACACTAGACCCGTAAGTCTGAGGTGCAGGTTCAAGTCTTGTTTAAGATCAAATCTTGTACTCGTAAACTACCAGTTAACCATAAACTATCATTGCTATGACATAAAATAGTTCTTTAAAGGCGAAAGTTCATTACATTCAGGGGGAGAGTAAATTACTCGCCTGTTTTCAGTATAATATGTAGGTGATCTATTATACTGAAAATGAATGACTCCTCTGTGAGGGTGGTGAACATTCTGCGGTGGTCTAATTTTATGCATAGGCTTCTGGCAAGGTGCGCGGTAGGCAGTATTGTTCGGTTGCAGCTCAGGACAGTCACGGCATCAGACTAACGTTGCAATAAGTGGGGCTGTCCCAAGAGGCGTGGAATTAGCCCACCCGTGGCGTTTTCTGCCACCGCTTGTTCTGTTTCTGAATTGATCACTAAGCGGTCATTATTGAAGGAAAAAGCAACCGGGGGTCGCACATTCCACCTCTCCTGACACCGCCCCAACTGACTACGACGACATCAATTATATCAGATTAAGGAAGTTCATGTCGTGCGGGAGGGAGGGGGAGGTGGGGTCGTCCTGTTCATGAAAAGAACGTTTCCGTGTTTTATTGACGTATCTGAGTTTTCTCAGTTTTTTCTCAGACATTTTACGCTGTCGCTGTCGACCGCCCTCCACGCTCAGCTGCAGTTGTTTTCAACGAGAAAATGAATTTTTGAAAAAAGTAGATTCCGGGAAAGTGGTATGAGTAGGGAAAACTTGGGAAGATGATAGATGGAATGAAGGAGGGGGGGGGGTAGGTCGTGCCAGAGAGATGGAAATTTCGAGGAGGGGTCGTGTTTTGCAAAAATTCTCCATTCCGAGGACATACCCTGGTAAGTTTGGACGTGACATGCCTCATCATTGCCCCAGGAATCTAGTGGTTCTCGTTGCGCCGCTTGTCTGTCAACATTTGCAACGCGTCTTCCGTCACTCTTGCCGCGACCAGGATGGGCTGAATTACAGCCGGCTGTGACAAGAGGCACTCAGGAACTAGGCTATTCTCGGGCCGTCCACTAAATAGAATTTACTGCAGAATTTATGGCCTAAGTGAGGGTGCTTCTGACGGTATCTCCTACAGTTTTGCTGTTTTCAGTTCTCTTTTATACTTATATCACACTACACTCACATGGTTATTGTGGAGTAGGTGCATGCAAACATGTAGTATCGGCGATGAAATTTGAGAAGGCAGGCCTCAGTGTCGCACGCATCCGCTGATGAAATAAAAAGGCTCATACAAGTGAACCTAAATTGCGAAACGTTGGAATGTAGCTCATATAGCAGGTGCTTGTGTTTTTCTCAGTAGAAAAAACCAATTCTAGCCGAAGTAGTCGAAGCAGAAGTTGCGGTTACTTTGATAATCAATAAGATCGATGAGTGTCGTGAAACCAGGCATGTCAGCTCCCGGAAGAAAAATATCAAAATGGGAGACCCCACTATCAGATTTTCCTGTTCTGCTGTGTGTGACCCCCTCCTTCTTCCTCATGCCTCGGCCCGCTTACCATCTCCCTAGGTTCTCCGAAACTTCCTACGACTTTTCCAGTATTTTTCCTAGGATTTTCCAACTATCATCCCCAATGGGATTCCCCCACCCCTACC